GTCTCTTAGGTGTGCTTGGAATCAAATTAGTGAAAGAAATTACGACGGAATCATCTTTCCCGCTAGTGATTGGGAACGTCTTTCCCGCCAACCGCCTTCGAGGATCAATGCAGTCTGAACATACATCATCATCGTACAAGGGAGGGAGAGAGAGAGAGAGAGAGAGAGAGAGAGAGAGAGAGAGAGAGAGAGAGAGAGAGAGCAACTCACCATGCAACAACGCCTGGCTGCCGTTTGTGCGAACGTTGCAAGGGCGAAGGACGACGTTTGCGCGAACGTGCCGTTTCCACGACGTCAGCAGGTCGAAGGCCGAGAGCGTCAGCAATGCACAAGGGCCGTTTCGACCGCCAAAATTTTACGTGCCCAAGGTCCAAGGACCAAAACGCCGTTTCGCCAACTACCGCCAACGGCAACGTTTCCGCTACTACCGCCTCACAAAAGCCCAACGACCACCTCAACAGTGGTCCTACGCCTCTGCGCCCCTTGCTAGGCCCCGAAACCAAAAAATGACCACCCTCCCGAAGACCACGACGTTGAAATTTGACGTTGAACGTTGAAATGTCTCAGGGGGGGAAAGCGCATCCCTGACGGGCTGCGAACAGTCCTAACTTCGGACTGAACCCGGCCCAAAAACGGCCGAGAGGAATTTCCTGTTCCTTTTGGTAACGTGGCACTCTCCTCTCCCTCCGACCCCTTGTGGGCTTCTGCGCCCACCGACTGGAACCGAGTGCACCTGGTTCCTTCTATTCTCCCTATCCATCCCCCCTACTCTTTTCCTACTCCCTCCCTCTAGGTACCAAGCCACTGCGATATCACCAGCTTATCTTCTCTCACTGAGGCCAACCCCCCGGGCATTGCCCAGGTTTCTAGAAACCACCTTCTTCCTGCTGTCCCTCCGCCTTGCAATACCTTCCTCCTCCAGTCTGCTCTAATCTCCATCCTGAGCATTCCCTTATACAACTTCTCCGCCTGCACCTCCTCCCGTCCTTCTCCCTCGAACCGCCTGCCGTTTCTATCCAACCAAATTACCCACATCATGACCGCCCTCCCCACTTGGGCTATGTATCCCCAGCCTTTGTCCGCAAGAGTACCCACATCATGACCGCCCTCCCCGCTTGGGCTATGTATCCCCAGCCTTTGTCCGCAGGAGTATCCTGTGGGATTAATCCCAACAGTACCCATCGTTCACCCTGGCAATACGTGTCCCCTGACATCTTCTCCCAATGTGCAAACCACCATCTCCACCACTTAAGAGAGCGCGGGCACGCCCACCACAGGCATGTCATTGTTTCGATGGGCCACTCACATCGGTCACACCCCAGCCTAACCTGCATTCCTCTGTTGCTCAACCAACTGGCTGTCAATACAGCAAGGTGAGATTGCAGCCATAAGAGGGAAGCGATTTTCTGAGATGGTATTGTGGTCAGCTGCACCCAAAGTCGAGTTAACTCCATTTCTGTTGGGGGGTTGAAGCATGGTTGTGCCCTTTCCCAACGGTTAATTAAATTACTCAGTGCTATTCTTCCCGACAGTCTTTTGTTTCTTACCATTTTTGACGACAGTTGGGTAAAATTTGTTACAGGCCTTCCATCACTGACAGTATCTGCCCTCCATCCCTACATGTGTGGATCTATCGTTAAAGCTCTTTTCTCTCTTCCCCCTGCCACTAATTTGTAAACAGCTGGTTCTCCCCTTCCCTGCAGCCTCACTGCTCTCACCCTTATCTCCGTCAGTCCGCTCCAACCACTTCTAACGGTTGACCTATACAGTGCTAGGATATCGCTGTGTTCTGTTCTCCTATACTCCTCTACTTCACATCTACCGCTATCATCTGCGTGCCATGACTTCAGCCGCACGTACGTTGGTTCTTCCCCTTGTTCCGTTTCTTTGAACCATGTGCCCTCCGGGTTAATCCCGTCTGGTCCCAATAGGGTTCTCCAGTCCTCCGGTATTGCTGTTACAAGCCTGGAGATCCTCTCTTCCTGTACCGGAAGTTGATTCAGCTTACTTCTGATGTGGTTTGATGAGTGCCATTGGTTTATTGTATCATCCCACAAGTCCCCTATCACAGACACCCCTCTTTGTACCCACTTCAAGCCAAAATTGCCTGGAGAGGCAGTTGCTGCGAAACAGTGTCCTTCAGTGTTCAGGATCCTGTTATTATCAAACAATGGCTGCATCTTGACCTCGTTCTTCGTGGCCGGCTCCACCACTGTATTTGGCTTCGTGCACTTCCAAGCCGCCACCACATTCCTTCAAAACTTCGATTTTACCCTCTTGTTCAGGAATTAATCCATCATTAAAGCTACCCATACATCAGAAGCTCGAGACAAACCCCATTCTCTCTGTAAGATTCTCTCCACTAAAAGGCACCAGTCCAGCGAGTCTTCCGCTTCTGCCACTTTTACCAACCAACTGGATAGAAGTACTAGGTTTTGGGATTCAGGGTCGCTAATTGCCAGTCCTCCCTCTTCTTTCGGTCTGCAAAGTGTTTCCCATGCTACTTTCGCTATGTAACCCTGGTTTCCTTCTGCCTGTGGTTTCCAAATGAATCTCCTTGGCGCCGCTCTGATGTTCTTGTAAGTTTGTTCCGATAGCTTGCATACCCTCAGCACAAACCAAAGAAGAGAAAAAACAGATACCGTAATCACCAGTGCCCTGCCCATGAGTGATAGATGAGGAGCACGTCCCCAGCTTCAAATCCTAGCATCAACCCGTTCCTGCAGTAGGAGATCTTGAGAGGTGGAGCAGTCTTCCAGTGCTACCAATTACTCCTAGAAATCTTTCTGCTGTATTGGCAGGCACCCTTTTCATCCCCCATTGAGTCCACTGTTCATATCCTTCAGGCAAGAAAAACGCCGATTTCTTCCAGTTGATTGCTGCTTCCGACAACTTCTCATATTTCTGCAGGCATGCTCTTAGTGCTTCTAGCGAGTCAGCCGAGTTCTGAGAGATCGCCAGTAGGTCATCAGCCAAAGCTTTCACTCTGCAGTCATTCCTGTCGCCTGTACTCAGTCCGTGGATTCTTGACTCTGCTTTGATAGTACATAGTAAGACTTCCAGTTGAAGAACAAAAAGGAGAGGGGCTAGTGGGCACCCCTGCCTTAAGGATCTTGAGAGTCGGATCTCTTGGGAGTTGACTCCATTCACTTGTACTACCGCCGTTACAAAGGCATAAAGAGCCTTAACCCATTTACAAAAGGGCTCGCCAAAGCCTAGAACCCTCAGGGTGGTCATGACAAAGGTCCAATTGACCCTGTCATACGCCTTCTCCAGGTCAATCATGATAACTGATATATCTAAGTTTTCTTCCTGGATGATCTCCAGGGCCTCTATCGCCGTCTATATATTATCAAAGATTCACCTCCCCCTTACAAACGCCCCCTGATCCGCCCCCACTAGGTTCGGCAACACTTCTCCCAGTCTCCTTGCCAGGGACTTCGCCAGTATCTTGTATACTACATTCAGTAGGAAAATGGGCCTCCAGTTTTTTACATCAGCGCGGTCTCCTTTCTTGTGCAGGAGCGTAATCACTCCTTTCGTCATTGTGTTTGCCCAATTCTCCTCCTGTCAGAATTCCATTGTACAACTGGACCAGATCCTGTTCCAACACGTCCCGACATGTCAAAAAAAATTCCACTGGGAGCCCATCCTCTCCCGGGGCCTTCCCTTTGGCCATTTCCTTCAGTGTCTGCCTGAGTTCTTCAGTAGATATCGGTCTGTCCAGGTCTCTTCTTTCCTTGTCTGTAATCCTGACTTGGAGGGTCTCCCACAGTGTGCTCTCCTGAGATAGATCCGTCTCCCAGTTCCAGTAGATCTTCCTGGTGGCCAAGATTTCTCTGAAGTAGTCTGCTGCATATTCGCACATGTCTTCATTGGTCTGTGCCGGTTGCAGTCCCAGCAGGTACGGGTGATTCAGCTCCCTCATAGGTGTCGTTCTTCTATGGGGTAGGAGTCGTTGGAAGCTCTCTTTGGTCATCCTATCTTTCCATACCACTCCCTTCTCTTTCAGGATCACCTCCCATCTCAAATGTTTGCTCACTTGATAATCTTCCCATTCCTTCATCCTGAGGCTTCTTTCCTCCATCCAGGCATGCTAAGAGATTGGGTGCCCTCTCATCCTTTCCTCTGCTTCCTCCACCCTTGCTTGGAGCCTTCTTTCCTCCTTATTTCTCAGGTATGCAGCGATCACCGAGAAAGCTTGGAATTTGTGTGAGATGATGCGTAGGCCAACGTCACACCAATCTTCAAAGGATTCAAAGTGTTCTAATGCCAACCTCCATGCTTGCCACTGCTGGTTAGTCCATTCCCATCAGCCTTCATCCTCTAAGTTGGCCGTATTTAATCTGAAGTGGCCTGGTCCTCTCCGCTCCTGCTGGTCTGTCCTTGTCTCCATAATGATTGGCTTGTGGTTTGAGGTGCCTGCGCTGAAGACATTGACTTTCTATGTTTGCTGTGTAAAAAGTCCAGTGGTCAGGAAGAAATTCAAGCGACGTTTCACTCCTGTGGCCGAACTAGAAAACCAAGTGAAGTCGTTCTCCTGTGGGTGCATTACCCTGAAGATGTCTACCAGATCCCACGACTCTCTCCAATGTAGGAAGGCTTCTCTATCCCTTCTCAATCCATCCTCCGCTTCTGAGTCTAGTCTCGGGCTACAAATCAGATTCCAATTTCCCCCTATTACCATATTTTCTGCTCTTGGGAGAATGTACAACAGGGACTTGATAAACCGGAGTCTCTCTCTTGGTTCATTCCGGGCATATACCGTTGCTACTATTATCTCCAACTTCCTCTATCAATAATTTGAGCCACACCCATCTCCCCCATAAATCAGAATCGTAGTCAATAAGCTCAGCCTCCAGCCTTTTGTGTACCAGTATTGCACTCCCTCCTTTCGTGCCTCTTGCTGGAGACCACAGTTGTGGTCCATCCCACCAGTCGGTGAGTTGTGCCAGCTTCGCCTCCGAAAGCTTCGTCTCCTGAAGAAACATTATATCCACTTTCTTCTCGAACATCCACTCCTTCACTCTTCTTCCCTTCTGTCTGCCTCCAGTATCCCCCAACCCCTTCACATTCCATGTTCCAATTCTAATTCTCCCCATGGGCTCCACCTTCCGCCGCGTTTCTTCTTTGGATCCGCTCTTCCGTTGCCTGTTCTTCTCCTCCTCCTCTCTGCGTCGGGCTGATGTTTTGCCATTTCTCCACTAGAACTTCTTGAATAAAGCCAGACTCCAGGTTCCTGTCAAGAGGCATCTTTTCGTTGATGGTCTTCAAAAAGATGGTTGGGATGCCAGGTTCCCCTATTACGTTATTTAACTCCGCGTCTGCCCCTCCCAACAGAAGGCGGAGGGGGATGCAGGTTAACCCAACCGAGGGAAGTCCTGCCCTATGTTGCATCGGGATTCGAGCGTCGATTAGAGGGATGTAAAACTTCACCCTCTTACCACCCTGAATTTTGAGCGACAGCTTCGGAGTAATCTCTTCCGGGAACAACCTAAAGCAAAACCTGTCTGCATACAGATGTCTTGTTTTCGCTTCTACCATCTCCGGCGATGGTATTCCGCAGAATGGCGTGGATGGAAGTATTGTTTGTCCAATTCGATTCACCAGCCCGAGGATGTAGGCTTCTTGTCCGAGCATTGTACACACTAGCGGCATCAGTCGGTTCTCCTCAAATCGGTGATCGCCCACTTCACACGTCGTTACCCCATCTGGGATTAGCGGTCTACCCTCTTCGTGTCCTTCCAGATTCGCCAGCGGGTCCTCCTCCCTCACCTGCGACGAGCTTGAGGTAGGGGCGGCTGATTCCTTGTTGCGATGCTTCGTACTCTCATCAACCACCACTACCCGTTCCTCAGCTCCCAGTCGCCCTTCTTTAACCTCTTGCCTCCCCAGCGGCGTATACAACGCCGATGAGTTGCCTCGAGCCAGCACTGAAGAGCCCCCTGACATCGCATATTGCCCCGTCCCCTGCAGTCCCGCCATCGCTTGCGTGGCTCCTGGCATCGAGTGTTGTCCGGGTCCATACCAGCTTGGCCCTGCCGGATTCCGCCAGTAGTCTTGAATATTGCCTCACGCCATTGGTTGCTGCCACATACAGTTGTTGCTTGTTGATGCAAGGTAGGGATCACTCGCCATCCCATACGCTCGCCAATTGCTTGCTCTAAGTCCGACCAATATTAACTGGTCCACCTGCTCTTGCTGTCCTGGGGTTTGACTCCATGCTAGCGGGTTTCCAGTTCCTGTCGTGTCTCCCGCTGCTATCCACCGCTGGCTTGCTCCCATCAGTTGCTGCGATGCTCTGACATCTTGCCTGAGGTCCCCTGCTGTGCTCGATTCTCTTCCCCCATGTTGACTCCCGGGCTGGTCTCGCGCTGCATCTCTGATTCCTCTTTCGTAGATAACTACGCCTTGCTGAAGGGGTCTTGTGCGGCTCGATATCTGTCCACTTGCCTGTTCGGTCTCCTTTCCCGCTCTCGAGCACCCCTCGATTCAATGTGAAACCACCATTTACACCAAGTGCACCATGCTGTGTTCTTACATGCAAATTGTACTTGATACAACTCCCCGTAATCCAACTTCATAGGTAGGGTGACCTCAAACCTTTCCTCCGCTTCTCTTGCTAGATCGAATTTAAGGTTCATCAGTTTCGGTCGAGTGGGGTCTTGCTCTGGCGGGTGCTGATGGATGATTTGTCTCATCGCTTGAGCTACCAAACCTCCAACGTGAAACATTGCTCTTAGCGGAACCCGTAGGGCTACCACCCAGAACTTAGTTTCAGCTTCTTGTCTTCTCTGTTGCTCCAAGTCTGCTCTTGTCATCCATGGCTTGAACAACATCTTATACTCAACGCCTTTGATTATTACTACATCCTCCGCCTTCGCCACTAGCCATTGCACCACTTCTCTTGACTTCGCGACATGCGACATCACATTTGGCCCTTCCCCATGAACTCGTCCTCTTTTGAATCCCCTGGTGAAGGTCTTTCTCCTGAACCATCAATTTTCATACGCTCGTATGAGGTCTTCTCTCGTTCTCACCAGGAGATCTCTCGCCTCGCCCTGGAATATCACCGTTACCGTCCTTTCCTTGAGCCATGCGGTAGTCAGACGATCTATCTGAGCATTCACCTTAAATACACGTACTTCATTCTCAACAACGAATTTGCCATGTCTCAAGTTCTTTGAAAAGATCCCATCCTCATAGCACTTTGCAATTAATAGCCTGATCCGATCTTCGTCTGTAAGGGGTACTTCATTCGGCCCTGGTCAGTTTTGACGGTCGCCCAGACCTCCTTTTTCCGTCATTTCTCCCGTAACTTAAGCTCCTTGTAGCTATCACGTCAATGGCAGGCGCCTTGCATTGGCGCACGCCCGCTGCTTCCTTGCTCGTGTACTCTTCTCTCGTAGTCTCCGTCTTCTCGTGAATATGTCCACTCGTGTTGCAATTCAACTTAGGACCAAGCTGCGTGTCGCCATACCTCCCTTCCCACTTGGTTGGTTGCTCGGGAAATGCCGAGCAAGGTGACTGCACTAACGCCCTGGCATCGTGGTGGTGCCTAGTGCGTTGGCCTGAACCGGTACTACCCGGTGACGCTAACTTAGAACGCCGTTGGCGCCAATCGCCACGTCTACCGTGCCTTGAGGCTTGCACCGGACCAGTTTTCGGCTTTTATAAGGATTTTTTTCTTTAAAAAAAAAAAAAAAAAAAGCAGATCAATCGCGATTTCTGCCCGTCTCGACATTCGCGTCCAGGTTCAGCTACTGGCAGGTCTCGGTCTTTGTGTTAGCCAGACCCCCACTGGCGGCCCCAACCCTATACCCTAAACATTAGGGGCAAGGGCCAACATGAAATCTCCCCTTCACAGTGAGAGGAAACTATGCTTGCAGGGGTCCCCTCTAGATAGCCTTAGGAGTAGGTTGTGAAAGGCAAAAACAGAAGTTGAGARAAAAAWARARAAAAAAAAAAAAAAAAAGTKTKTKTWAAAWCCMMCCCCCTTTTTTTTTTTTTTTTTTTTTTTTATCAAATCCAACCCTCTTTGCTACCGTAGTGTGACCAGACTCCGCGGATGACTTTCGAGATGCAATGCATGGGGCCTTGCTCCACCACTCTCCACATGCACAAAAGACAAAAACTATGGCCATGTATCTTTCCATGTTCTAGCGGAGGATTCAGTCTCTTTTGCAAATTCGGAGAGCGATGGAGCCAGGCCCATGAATCTGGATGCTAAACAACAAATATGTAACCAACAAGCCCCCTCTTTATTTTATTATTATTTTTTTACCCGAGTTAACATTTCATTACGAAAGAATGTTTGAATAGGGGCCGGGGTCCCCACAATTCCACCCGGGAGTAACTTGTTTAAAAAAAAAAAAAAAAAAAAAAAAAAACCTCTGCTCATTCTTATTACCACATGAAAAAAGGGAGGCCGGGAAAACCTCAACAAACAACCCAGAAGAAAACAATACTGGGACCATTACCCAGCTTAGATGCAGGCCTTGGGACACTGTGGTCTAGAAGCAGAATGGTCAAATCTGGACCGCTGCCCTGACACATCGCAACCCTGGGAAAAAAAAAATGCCATCAAGGCCCTTGAAAGCCAAACACAAACCATAAAGGGGCACCGAAAACACTCAACTAACAACGAAACTAGCAAGAAAAAGAAAGGGAGCCATCAAAGGCTACCGAAAGCTATCGAAGCCAAACACACGCCTATCCTAACTGCGTAGATGCTCGAGCAGTCGAGCCAAGCCGCCTGGTCGACCTGGAGCATAATCTACTTCTACACCAAGAAAATCTATCATTATTGCAGCATCAACAACCACCTATTACCGGTGGGGAGCACAGCTCCAAAGAAAAACCAGTACACTCCCTCCGCCAACTGTTCCCTCTGCCAGCCTACCGCGACTGAAATAACCGAGTGACTAGGTACCTCCCTTTTAGACTAAGCAGAAAAAGGCCAGGGATCCAAAACTAACTTACCTTCAACAATTGTTGCCAGGGAACTGTAAAGGCACAAAGTTTGCCTGTACCAAGATATACCTCCAGATCGCTGAGGAGACTTCCCCACTTTTCTCCTCCAATCAGCCTGCATGGCTAATCTCAGTTGTGTAACAAAGGTCGACCGAATCTGTTTGTTGGACCAATCTTTTCCTTCAAAAACACAACTGTTCCTGCTTGACCAAATCACATAGTACCCCACTGCCCTCGTAGACTGAGCTACATATCCCCAACCCTTGGAGATGCACAAATGATCGGAAACTCCTCCTAACAGCGTCCATTCTTTCAACCATTGGAATGGGGAACCTGAAATACAATCCCATTGCTTTATAATCCAGCGCCAAATACGGCTCGCGGCCGGACAGTCCCACCACAAATGCACAGTTGATTCGAAGGCCCGCCGACAACGTTTGCAGCACATATCGACCTTAATTCCGTGTTCTGTGAGCCATACTGCCGACGGTGTTGCAACCAAAGAGACTAGCCACAATATTGAGACGTGTCTTTGATTAGCCAGTTCTTTAAGTTGTTTCCAACATCGCAGCAAGTTGTACTCAATGGATTTCGAATGTAGTTCCATCAGCTATGCCCGCCGACTCCTGGCTATTACCAATGGTACTTTCCGAGAAGGCTTCAGAGTATAGCCTAGTTGTAAGGAATATTCCATCAAAGTGAGGTTTTGACCTCCTTTTCCTTTAGCTCTCCATTCCCACAACGTTGGATCTATTATCAATTGGGAGAGAGGTTTTGCCCCGGCAAAAACTGTGCATTGTAATGACTCGTTCAAGTCCAACTGTTCAATCACTCTTACTTGACACAGTGGGGAACCAATCTCTAGTTGGATTTCATTATCACTGAGACTGAGCATATTACCAGGCAGGCAATCCCATGCTTGAAAAGTACGTTTACCCTCGTTGTCGATTGTCAGAAGTTTTCATAGTAGCGTCGAGTCTGATGTCGGGTTGGTATTCTAGGTTCCCAGAGGGTCCGCTGTTACCGAGGACAATAGGTTTTTCCATTCCTCCGGATGGTCGAAATAAGAGCATCTCCGTGGTCTTGAAGAAACCAGACTGCCCCTAATGTGGTCCGGAGGGCTCGCACTGTTTTCCATGAGCCTGTCAATTCGTCCCAGAGATCACTTATTCTTACGATACCCATTTCAATCCACGAGCGACCAAAACTTGTTGTAGCTAAATCTGCTGAGAACCATCTTCCATCCGGCCGTTTAATCCTTGGGTTCTCAAATAAAGGTTGTAACAGAACCTCTGCTTTGGTGATGGGTTCGACCCAAGTATCTGGTCTAAGTTTCCTCCAAGCCTTAATCACCACGCACCAAAAATGTGATTTCACCTGTCTATGCTGATACGAATAAAGCATAAGACATGACCTGGTATCGGATGGACGACTGAGGTTCCATTCTGCTGCCAAAATTCGTTCTGCAAGAAGAATCCAATGTTGCTCATGGGGGTCCAAGATGACTTTTAATATCCATTTGACCAAAAGTGATTCGTTCTATTTGATTGGGTTTTTTATCCCCAATCCACCTTCCTCCCGAGGGAGGCAAAGCATTTCCCACACAACTTTCGAAAGAAAACCTTCAGATTTTTTCGAGAAGGGTTTCCAAATGAATTTAGCTGCTCTTCTTTTGATGCATGCGTACAAATGATTCCCAAAACGACGAACTGTACCGACAAACCAAAGGAGGGCAAATAACGCGTCATTAACTACCATAGCCCTGTCGAATAAGGACAGATGGGGGGCTTTACCCCAAGTGACAACCCTATGAAAGGGCTCTTTGTAGCAAAAGATCATTTTGATTCTCATAACAGTCTTCAAGGGCTACTTGTACCAAAAAAAAACGCTCAGATTGCGGACCTCGAAGTCTTTTCATGCCCCATTCTACTACCGGGCTATAGTTCTCATGGAAAAAATATAACGATTTATGCCAACTCACAGAAGTTTCCGATAAGTTGGAGTACTCATCCAAACATGATTTGAGGGCAGACATAGAGGTTTTAGAGTTCTCGACCACAACAAACAGATCGTCGGCGAGTGCCTTAACTTTATATTCGGATTGACCCACTGACATTCCTCTGATTACAGGGTTAGCTCGAATGTTGTTGAGGAGACCTTCCAGTTGAAGAGCAAAGAGAAGGGGGGCCAAGGGGTAACCCTGTCTCAAGGATCGTGTCAGGGGGAATGTTTGTGACAATCTACCATTCACAATAACGGCTGCTGTGGACAAGGTATACAAGCCCTTTACCCATGTGCAAAAATTGTTGCCGAAGCCCATCCATTTCAATGTGGTTAGAACGTATGACTTGTTTACCCGGTCATACACTTTCTCCAAGTCAAGCAATAGGACCGAGAGGTTTAACTGCTCCGCTTGGATAATCTCTAACGATTCTATTGCTGTAACAATATTATCGAAAATGGAGCGCCCTTGGATAAAAGCCGCTTGATCTGATACAACCAAGCCTGGAAAGTACTTACCTAAACGCTTTCCCATAGTTTTTGCTAAAAGTTTGTAAGAAACATTCAAAATGGAGATTGGGCGCTAGTTTCTTATCTGGGCTCTATCCCCTTTTTGGGATAGTAGAGAAATTACTCCTTGGCACATGTTTTCTGACAAGCGTCCCCCCGTCAGCACGTTGTTATAAATTTCTTCCAACGACTCTCCTATTTCAACCCAAATGGCAAGATAGAATTTCACGGGGAGACCGTCATTTCCCGGGGCTTTACCCTTTGACATCGAATGAAGGGCATTAAGAGCTTCAAGCGAAGTTATTGGTCGATCAAGATCCAGCCTCCCAGTAGGAGCTAACCTTACAGAGGTATTATTCCAATGGGAGTTACCCTCTGATAGTAAAGTTGTGACATCAGAACCCTGAGACCTAGAGGTCAAGATATCCCAGAAATAGACCTTAGCGTATTCACACAGGTCAATCAACTGCTTGGCTCTGGGGGCATCTACGTCGAAAGGGTGCATG